ACGAGGAAAATTATGGTGTGAAGACAACGTATGATAGCAGTCTCTCATCATATACGTAAGTTATTGATTTAGCCATATATATGTGTGTGAAGGTTGGGGGGTAGAGCAGTTGATGACAAGGATATCATTTGATAGGCAATTAAAGTAGAGTCTAGGTTGTTTTTCTTTCGTTTTCACTTAATAAATGAGAGTTGGTTAACATACCAGGACTTTGATTAGTTGGCAGAAATCAGTGGATAAAGAAGAGTAGACTGATTGTCAAGACAATTCAGAGGTAATCATCTGAACCCTTTGAATGTCAGTATTTGTGAATAGTTTCATCCTTTCTCTATCCTCAGTTCCACCTGTTTATTACAGGCTGTTGGTGGCTACTTTAGAAAATATTTGATAGCAGAAACAGTGAATGTTCCATGATGAGACATGTCCATTGGAATATTATAATAACAATGCTACCTTTGCATTATCTGCACTTGAGGGTGGACTCCAGGATTCAATTTAGTTTAGGTGCTGGACTAGAAACTGAGAGACCATTCTAGTCTTCTCTTGGAATGGAAGCCAGTTGGATGACTTTGGGGCAGAAATACATTCTCGCCCAATTCACCTCACAGGGCTGTTATGGGGAAAGGAGAGCATTATGTACATCTTCTTGAGTTGCACAAAATACAGGAGATATAAATCTAGTAAATACCGAATGCAGTGAATATTAGGGCTCATCCAAGATGGTCACTTTGGACCACTAACCAATTCAGTTGTACTTTAACATACAGCTTGTTTCACTACCTTACTAGTTTTTGTTATACTTCTAAATTCAACAGTATACCGAAGTAGCAGAAGCCTTTACTTGATTTTTCCTTGCTTGCTTATTTATTTATAAAGTTAATTGGCTGCCCATCTTAACTCTGGGCATCTTATAATTCATCAAAGATAAATATACATATACTGAGAACAAATAAGTTAAACAAGCCAAATGTTATGATCCAATTAAAGATGGGAGGGGGAATATGAATGTGTGTGTGTGCGCGCAGACATACACATATTCAATATATACATGTGTCTGTGTACACAATTGTTATTTATTTTTGTACTAGGCAGTGTTATGTAAAACATAAAAAACAAGGAGTAATGGACAAAAACATTAAAGCAGGAAATAAAAGAAAATGTAACTCTAAAATATAGTCACCGTTCAATCTTCAAACCTTTCTATGCTTGCAAGCCACTCTTGCTTTCTTTGTCTCTATGCATCAATGTACCATATTTTTCGGACTATAAGACACACTTTTTTGTCTCCCAAAAGGGGGTGAAAATGTCTGTGCGTCTTATAGACCGAATATTGCCTAAGCTACCTCAGTGTACTACTTTCATACTGATGTCTGATTTTTGTATTAAGTCTGCTCATTCATTCTTGACCCTATCTTTTTTTGCTTTGCTACATTCAAACATCTACATTCGAAGTGCCTTAGCACAGTGATTAGAATGCAGTACTGCAGACTACTACTGCTGCCAGCTGTTCAGCAGTTCAATTCTGATTGGCTCAAGGTTGACTCAGCCTTCCATCCTTCCAAGGTTGCTAAAATGAGGAACCAAATTGTTGGCAATAGGCTGACTCTGTAAACCGCTTAGAGAGGGCTGTAAAGCACGATGAAGCAGTATATAAGTCTAAGTTGCTATCTTTCAATAAACATGTATTCCTCTTAGCAGATGTAGTAGACCAAGGGTGTCAAACTCAATTTCATTGAGGGCCGCATCAGGGTTGTGTTTGACCTCGGAGGACCTGGGGGGGGGGGCGTGACCATGGTGGGCATGACACGAGTTATTGACATAGGCTATAGTAGCAGAACCCTGCAAGTCTGAAAGGTAAAATGTTTTACCTTTTGTCCTTTTTATAACCTTCTGAGTCAAGGACGGCCTCCTGCAGCACTCCGGAGACCCCCCGTTTTGTGCCTGGATGGCCTGCAGCACTCTGGTGGCCAAACCTGGTTTTTGCTAGCAGAGGCACTGCGGGTTGGTTCTTTGCTATTTCTAGGCTGGCCCCATGGGCAAGATCTAAGCACCCTGCAGGCCAGATTTGGCCCACGAGCCTTGAGTTTGACACCACTGTAGTAGACTATATATTACCCATCTTTTTTATCAGCATTTATACATTTCAATGTTTTCCTATCCGTGTCTCCTCCTTTAGGGATATACTCCTAAAGTGAACAGTATTATCTCCTGGCTGTAATATTTTGCCATTTATGTGTAANGATGAAAAGTCACAGTAAGGAAGTTTGTTCTGCTTTACTTTTTCCTCTAAAGCAGTACTTAATTTTTTTTTCTCCCAAGGACTGTTTCACATTTTTAAAAATTGTAGAGAACCTCAAAGCTTTTCTTTGCGGGTTATATTTATCATGTTAAAAATTAAAATTGATACATTTGCTACAATTGTGATTATTCATGATTGATGGGATTTTAATATTATTTTTCAACATAGACTGGCAAATAATTTTGATTTTAAGGAAACCAGATCTTGAGGACCCCCTCAGTATTTAAGAAATACTGCTGTAAGGGAAATGCATTTTGAAATGAGATTGAGAAAGTTGAAGATAGTGCTTGCAGAAGATGACAGCAAAAAAGAAAATAATAGCTAAAGCTGACATGGGCAACCTGAGGGAAAACTCTGGAAAACCAGTAAAAAGTCAATTGGGGAAGAATTTGGTTGAAGGGATTCTTCAGAAACCATTGGCTAATAGTATAGAGCTCCTATGGGAAGATAAGAGACCTACATGCCATGCAAAATTTCTGAATTATTTAGTAAGAAATGAAATACTAGTAACAATTACAAGCAGTCCTCTTTTAACCTTAATTGGGACTGGAATTTTTGTTGATAACCAAATGGTCTCATTAGGCAAAACATCACTTAACTGTATCACTTAGCAATCACAGCCTATTGTGCTTCCCTCCACTTCAACTCCTCTCCATCTCTCCTCTTTAGCGCCTCAGCAGCAGCAGGAGGAAGATAAAGGCAAAGGTCAGCTTAGGGCATCTGAGGTGAAGGAGTGCAGTGCAGCCAATAGGGCAGAGAGGTATGGGGTAAAACTGGTAAACCTGTGGGTGAAGTTAAAGTGCATAAAGTGCACCCAAATTCTGATCATATGGCTGTGGCGGCGCTTCAATGACCATAACCCCAAGGATTGGTCATAACTACTCAGTGCTATTATAACTTTGAATGGTTGCTGAACAAATGATCATTAAGCAAGGACTACTTGTACCACCAATACAAATTAGGTTTAGAGAGAAGGTTACTTCCTGGAATGAGGAAATGATGATTTTCTGTCTTCATTGCAATATCAATCTGTTTCAAGTTACCAGGACTGAAAAATACTGTTAAGTTAATGAGTAGACAGGCAGGGTGGGATGAACGGTACGGACAGGTTGAAATAACAAAGTGTAACAGACCATAACTAGGGAGAAAAATGGAAGGACAAAGGTTATAATGTCCGAGGTGGCGCAGTGGTTANGAGAGGGAAAATATATCCCACTTCCCCAACGTGTCAGAGAAAGCTCCAGAGGAGGCATACGCTGCAGTAGTTCTAGAGGAGGGAGGCCAGGCATGAGCTCCTTGCCATCCCGTGGGAGTTCACATCATTCAGAAAGCAACACTGGCTCTGCTCCAGAGCAACGAGGTATCAATGGAGGTAAGGCTGAGGATCTCAGGCTTAAAGGGGAA